TTCTCCTGGGCTCTAAAGCTCAGGCAACTACTGGGCTCACACCCTCTGGGAACTATTCACGGAACAGTTTCTAGGACATCCCAAAAGGATATGTGATGTACAGTCCTTGATATGAAAAGAACTCTTGTGGTTTTAACTTCAGCACAGTGGCTGTACCTTAATCTATTGCTATTTCAGCCAGCAACTGCGACTCCACAGTTACCAGCCTGCCTCTCTGGCAGGGACCCAGCCACTGAGGCCACAGCCTGGTGGGAATTCTGTTCCCTCACTAACTCTGTCACTGCTGCTAAAGGCAGCTTTAACTAAATCTCTCTTGTTCTGTTTAAAAATAAAACTCGAGATTCAAAGGCTGGGGTGAAAACCTGCTAGCTCAGAGAGGTTGGGTAGCACCTAGACAAGATCCTGTCCTTGCTGATGTCTCCCCACTCTGACAAATACAAAAACACCTCACCACTCCAAATCCCTAATACTTCCAGTATGTCTCTCTATCTCTTCCAGAAGCCAGCTAATGCTCTATGATTATCTTCTGTTAACTAGTTGTTAACTCAACCTCCCCAATAACACAAATGCACACTTGGAGTTCACAGTGTGATTAAATATCCCTCAGCAATCCCCTAGTCCAGAAAGTCAAGAACATGGCAGATACCTAAGGTAAGTCACAGCCTCTCTCTCTCTCTCTCTCTCTCTCTCTCTCTCTCTCTCTCTCTCTCTCTCCTGCCTGTGGATCAGGATATAGAACTCTCAGCTATTTCTCCAACACCATGTCTGCCTGTGTGGCACCATGCTTCCCCACAATAATGATAATGGACTAAACTTTAAAACTGTAAGCAAGCCCCCCAGCTACATGTTTTATTTTATAAGAATTGCTTTGGTCACAGTGTCTTTTCACAGCGATACAGAGTGACATAAGACACTATTATAAAAAAGAAATGTATTAGGTTGACTTAATCAATGAAAGCTGGGCAGTTCAGTGATGGCTGTCTGAATGTTCAGAAGACTGAGAACCTCATCTACAAAGCTGGTGGCTTCACCATCTTCAGACTGTCACTGAAGGCCCAGAAGGCTCCTAGAGAGCTTTTGGTCTTTGGTCCACATTGAAAAGCTGAAGGATCTCATGTCAGTGGAAGATGGTAGCCACAGTGACAGCAGGAATAAGCCAAGGCAAGGGAACAGATGACACTACCATTGGCTGGCCTTCTCTGTATCTGTACGGTCATCTGGAAGGTGCCACCCACTGTGATGGAAGAGTGTCTCCCTTCTATAATCCTAGAGTGAGTCTCTTAGGTCATTCCAAGTCTTGTCAAGTCGACAAGTTATCCATTGCAGTGGGCACAGTGGCCTTCCACATCACTAAGTTATCCACTGCAGTGGGCACAGTGGCCTTCCATGTCATGAAGTTATCATTGCAGTGGGCACAGTGGCCTTCCACATCACTAAGTTATCCATTGCAGTGGGCACAGTGGCCTTCCACGTCACGAAGTTATCATTGCAGTGGGCACAGTGGCCTTCCACATCACTAAGTTATCCATTGCAGTGGACACAGTGGCCTTCCACGTCACTAAGTTAGCCATTGCAGTGGACACGGTGGCCTTCCACTTTACTAAGTTAGCATTGCAGCAGACACGGTGGCCTTCCATGTCACTGATCTGGTATTTGTAAGGTGTGTCTTTCTCTGTCTTTACTCTTTTTTTTAAAAAAAATATTTATTTATTTATTATGTATAGAATATTCTGTGTATATGCCTACAGGCCAGAAGAGGGCACCAGACCTCATTACAGATGGTTGTGAGCCACCATGTGGTTGCTGGGAATTGAACTCAGGACCTCTGGAATAGCAGGCAATTAACTGCTCTTAACTGCTAAGCCATCTCTCCAGCCCTTTACTCTTAACCTAACAGTGTCAGTACATTTAAGTGAGTTTATTCCAGACAGCAGGTAGTGGGTCTTCAAATATTCAAATGTAAGTACTTTACATTTTTTATTCTCATTTCTATTTCATCATATCACTACAACCCCTTTATAAATGTTGGTGGTTGCCCTAAAACTTAAAATGCTCCTCCTCCTCCCTTTTTCCCCCCAAGACAGGATCTTTCTATTGTAGCCCTGGCTGTCCTGGAACTCAATCTGTAGACCAGGTTAGCCTGATTTCAAATTCAAAAATCTGCCTCTACCTCTGCCTTTGCCCCTCCACCCCTCTGTCACTTCCTCCCTTCTCCCCCTCTGCCCCTCCATCCCTCTGCCCTCTGCCCCTCCTCCTCTGCCTCTGCCTGCCTCTTGAGTGCTGAAATTAAATGCATGGGTCACCATGCCCTGATTCTCAATTTGTCAATATCCTGCCCCTAGCAACCAATCTAGGACTTATAAAAAGCAGCCTTCGATGTAACCTGGGGCTCTTGAACCATCTCACTAGAGTCCACTGTTCCCTTAGACTGTAACTACCTTGTACTTTGCTTTTAAATAAAATTCTTTCCTACTTTGCCATCTGCCTGCACTTTTTCAATTCTCTAAAGCGGGCACCAAGAACCTGAGCTACAACTGGTTCAGACAATGACCTCTGGTAACACAGATGTCAACAGCAGGAACTCAAGACAACCAGGCAGGGTTCGGGAGGTTTGTGTTTTGCTTATTTTCAAACAATTAAAATATGTTATAATTTAAAGACACATTTTGGAACTAACAAGATGGTTTAGAGAGTAAGAGAGCTTGGTACACAAGCCTGGCAGCCTGAGTTTGATTCCTAAAACCCATATGTATGGTGGGAGGAGAGGACCAATTCCATAAAGTCTTCCTCTGAACTCCATACTCCAGAGGTGTGTTCTTGTCACTGTTGTTGCTGTGAGGGGACACCAAGACCAAAGCAACTCTTACAAAAGAGAGCATTAAACTGGAGGCTGTCTTACAGTTTCAGGGATTTAGTCTTATCATCATGGCAGGGACCGCGGCAGCATGCATAGAACTGGAGAAGTAGCTGAGACCTACCTCCTGATGTGCTGAGAGAGAGAGAGAGAGAGAGAGAGACTCTGGGCTTGGCATGGGTTTTTGAACATCAAAGCCCACCCTGAGATCCTTCACCCCTTTCTTCTTTCAGGCCACACACTTCCTCCAACAAGGCCACACCTCTTAATCCTTCTAATCCTTCCAGATCAGGCCTCTTCCTGGTGACTAAGCTTTCAAATATACGAACCTACGGGGTCCATTCTTATTCAAACCCCCACAAGGAGGAAGGATTTGCTTATTACTGTTTTCCCATCTGTGACTTCCAACTTTTTACTCTGTGTATTTATTTCTTCCTTTTTAAGACCTTATTTTTAGTTTTCATTGTGTGTATGCATGTGTCTCTGTGTGGGTATGTGCACCCTGAGAAGGCAGACTTCGGAGCCTCTGGCATTGGAGTTACAGGTGACTGTGAGGCACCCAACATGTGCCCCCTGGGGAACCGAAGCCAGGTCCTCTGCAAGAGCAATATATGCTGTTAATAGTTGAGCCACCTCTCTAGCCCCTCATGCATTTATCTCTATTACATGAAATAAAATAATAAAATAGGAACGCAGGAAGGTGAGAAGAACTCCCTGCAGGCGCCCTCTGCTGGTCCTGCCTTCAGGCCTTCTCTTAGGACCATCTCTCAGACCCCTTCCAGGCCCTGCACCAACTCACTCCTCCCTCTCATCTGCCCTAGGCCCGACTCACCCCACCCCATCTCATGCCTCTGTCCTCACTTGCCCTCACAAAGCTGTATAAAATCCACAGCCATGCTTGAACAATGAGATGGACAGAAATGGCCAGAGAGAGGCTGCACAAACTTGGAGACCTGAGTTTGAATCCCCAGCACCCACAGAAAAATCTGAGTGTGAACGGCCTGGGTGAGTCATAGCAAGCAGAAACAGGAGGACCCTTGTCAACCTAGCTCTATGTTCCGTGAGAGACCCTGTCTAGTAGGAATAAGCAGAGAATGATAGAACAGGACAACCAATGTCTGTCCCTGACTTCCACATGGGCACACATACCTGTACACACACCTGCACACACACCTGCACACACACATGCACACACACCTGCACACACACATGCACACACACCTGTACACACACACATGCACGCACACCTGCACACACACCTGCACACACCCCTGCACACACCTGCACACACACATGCACATACACCACACACACCATCATACATAGAAAAAAAACAAGATTGGTCAGAAATTTCAGAATAGGAGGAGGAGGCAGATTTTTTTTCAACTTCTAGAATGTGGTTAGCAATTAGCTGGCCCTAATGTCCCTCCTCAGTGGGTCACCCTAAGGCCTATGGAGCCTGGAGGTTTGGGTGTGGAGAAAGATGGTCCAGAGAGAATTCCCATCACCCACCTCCCTGACCCTGGATCCACTACAGACCCTGAAGGTAATCTTCAGGGGGTGCTGGGATCATATAAATCACCCCCTACTCAGGGACAGAACCACAGCCCTGGTTTCCCATGGCTCTGTTGCTACACCACTGCAGACCACACCGGGTCTGGGACCATGTAGTATAATTTGTTGTGCTCTTGAGTCTGGATAGTTTGTCTCCATCACTTCAAGTTTCTGCATCACAAACACTGTCCTCTGCTTTGGAAAGAGGTATGGTTCTCAAGCAGACTCCTGGTGTGCGCGCGTGCATGTGTGCGTGCGTGCATGTGTGTGTGTGTGTTTGTGTGTGTGCGTGTTTGTGTGTGTGCGTGTGTGTCCCCAGACACTGAGCTTCAGGGATGCACCTGTCGCCTATCTCTGTTCCTTTGCCCGGTGTTGAGATTACAGGCCCACGCCGCTTCGTCTGGTTTTTATATGAATGTTGGGGATCTGGACTCAGACCCTCACTCTTGTATGCAGACATTTTACCCATGGAGCCACTGCACCAGCCCCAGGTTCCTGTTAAACCTCAGTACTGTTTCTCTCTAAAGGTGAGACCCAGAATCACCAAAAAAGCAGAAAAACAACACACAACATCTTGACACTATGTTCTTTCAAAAAAGTATTTACTGAGCATTTTCTCTGTCGGGTACAGTACAAAGCCCCAGGGCTGTGACTGGGATAGAGTGGCCTTCTTACTGAGCTCTCAGCCTGATTACAAAAGACACGTGGTTGGCACCCTAGGGTGCTCAGGCATCTGTGGCCCGAAAGAAGAAAGGAGTGAAGATTCTGGGAATGTCAGCTGAGGGAAACCATCAGTATGTTCCAGAACCTACTGCACAGCAGAGCTTTGTAGTAGGGTTTGGAAGGGATTTGAACCCCACTATCTGCACACTATATGTGTGTGTCCAAAGGAAGGTCACGCAAGCTGTGCCCAGTCCCTAGGTCTGAAAACGAGTGTCAGATTTACCTCAGACTGCTGCTGGGATCATGCAGAATGTCCTTCTATTTATCAGTATTCAACAGGCTCAGTGATGTCATGATGGAGTTTTGCCATAAGGGGAAAAGCCATGGCTTCCCAGGTGAGCAGCCCAGCATCTCTGTGTGCCCAGGTTCACGCAGCTACAATCTTGATACCCACTTTAACCTATGGTGCACAGCCCTCATCTCACCCACAGCAACCTTGGTGAGCTGCTGATGCCAATGGCCATGAGAGCCTTCTAAATGCCACTTTGAGCATTCAGAGACTGAGCACATGCTGCCAATGAGACCACAGTGCTTGCCTGAAACTCCTGACCCTCTCCACAGAAGCTGCATATGAAGCGTGACCTCTCAAGCAACCTGTCTGTCATATGGTCCTGGAAACAAAGTCTACAGCTACCTGCCATCCTCACCCTTTGGCCGCCACTGGATTATTTTGGCTGAGGTAGAATCAAATCCTTGACAGTGAGGATGGGCCCTCTGCTCCTGCCCTCATGCTGGTTCAAAAGAGATGCCGATCCTTCCCGGGGACACCAGCCATCAGGTCCTTTCATGATTCTGAATGCTTCAGTGCTGTTCATGAGTTGCCTTTGGGCTAGGGGTGGTGAGCACAGCTCCATTCAGAGGGTTTCCTGGAGAAGAGATGGGGATACTGATGGGGTGAAAGGGGCAGAAGTCAAGGCCTTTGCAACTCCAAGGCAGAATGGCAGAGGTGGGAAGGAGAGTGGGCATTTTCCCACGCAAGGCCTCAGAGAACAAGCTGAAAGAAGTCGTTGCTTGCACAGAATGACCCACGACAGAACTTGCTGGTACTGACTAGGTAGGGTCTGGCCAGCCCCAACAAAACTGTGCACATGCGCCATGCTGGCTGGTTCCAGCCTGTTGCCAAGACAGGGATGGTCCTTGTTATTCCCAAAGAGAAGCATTGTGACGTTGGAGTGTGCTGTGGACTTCTGTCCAATGTAAAGAGTAGGTTTGGATGAGGCTACTGGGTCCTTGTGAAGTCAATCCCATGGGGTTCTCAGTCTCTTGAGCTATTAGCCCTCCTCCTTTTCATATGCCTCAAACAGATAGATTGGCTGCCCAGTCTTCATTTACAACATGAACTGATTTTCTGGCCATCAGTCTGACTGTTCTGTGGCTTGAAGGGCAGCAAACTTCCAGCCTTCCAACTTCCGGCCCTGGGATCAGATAAGGATTCCTTCATCTCATTTCCCCTTCCCCTCCCCCTCCCCCACGTGCCTGAGCCCCACTATCTCTACCCCAAATACAATCCTCACGTCAGGACAATAAGGACGAAGACTCTGGTCCTTGGTTCTTCTGAATGAGGTCGTACAGATGCAGCTTCTGCAGAAACACGAGCCTGTCCTGTGGGTGCGCCTGAGCCACGGCTGGCTTGCAAGCCCCCACTTTCAGTTATCCACAAAGAAGTCTGTATCAGGCCAGAAGGCCATGGCAGCATTTTGTAGCATGTGTCAAGAAGCGACTTGCCACTATTTGCTGTCCAAAGAAAGCCCCAGAATTTCCGGGAGACAGCCGCAGAGGCTTTACTGGACAGCAGGGGCCCAGAATGGTTCAGGATCCCACTGAACCCCTATGAGGTACCTGCTCTGGAGCCCTGGGACTGAGTTGTTGGGGCTGGCTGTCTACAGAGGCACAGGCCTGGGTTCCTAGCCTGGAGGGTTCCAACTTGAGCTGACTCAGGTCCAGGAAAAGGTCATGACATCTCTGGTCTTGTGGGCTGGATGTGGAAGAGAAGCCACAGACAGCTGCTCCATCAGGATGGCCGCTTGTGGGTTTCTTCTGCACAGTGTTGGGACCCCAAGTCTGAGGATTCCAGAAGAGCCCACAACTCCTATCCTTTCTGGGAGAATGGCTGTCTGGATAAATTTGCAAGGCTGCCACATGGGCCACGCAACCTACAAGCATGGGCCCTGGGTCAAGAGCACTTCTCCCATGCCCTGGTCTTACGGGGTCTTGAGCACACCTCAGGTTCCCGGGTGTCCCAAGTTCCTTCTGAGAGCTAGCACGGATGACAGGGTTTGGAGCTTTGCTTTTCCCAGAAACGCCTGTTGTCATGGCAGCTACAGAGGATGATTGGCCTTCAGAAAGGTCTTGTGTTCCTTCCTCTGGAGAGTCATCCTTAGATGGGACAGTAATAGATTTTGCAGGCTCCCTTTGGACCTCACGCTCTCTTACAAGCAAGTCTTTGGTTCCTGGGTGTGCCCAGGGTGCCTGTCTGCTGGGTGCCAAGGATGTCACGGCCTTGCCCGTATCTAAGGCCTGGCTTTCCCTGCCTTCTAGGCTCTCTGTTGGTGCCCTGAGGACTCCATGGGGGTCAGGTGGGGCAACAGGCTCCCTAAGGACAAGAGCAGGAGCAGTGGCAGGGGCAGGGGCAGGAGCAGGGGCAGGGGTGGGTGGGGTCCGGCGCAGCCAATTGACAATGCCCATGGTGATGGCAAGTTCTGTGTCACAGAGCTTCAGCAGACATTCCTTGCCCTTCCAGGTACTCTGCAAGAATCCCTGACTGAGTAAGTCAGGGCCCGGCGCTGGGGCCAGGTTCTCCTCGGCTCCCACGTGGAAGCTACACATTGACAGTGGAGTCCCCAGGGCAGGTCCCGAAAGACTCTCAGACACACACAGGTCATCATCTAGGATGGGGCCAGCAGGGGCCTCGCTGGGGTCATAGAAGAGTTCATAGAGGGCATCCCCACTGTAGCTGTCCCTGGGGAAAGTGGCCGCAGGTGTCCCTGGGCTGGCAGCTTCCTTTTTCTCCTCCTCTAGGCCAGGTGAGAAGGAGTCATAGTAGCCTTCGTCACTTGTGGACACAGATTCTGGCTGTTCACTTTTGGGGGTACCTGTGTCTATGGAGCTGGCTTTGGAGCCACTGGGGGGACCCCTGCAAGGCAACAAGGGCAGTTCAGCTAACCCACAGGTATCTAACCTGGGCGGGTCTGCGTCTGTCCCCTGGGGACTCACCAGCCATGGGCTCAGCAGGGCACGCTGCTGCTGCTTCACGGAGCGATTTACATTATCCCAGAACTTGGTGAAGTCTGATGCTTCGTTCTGGGCAGGGGATGCCAGCTGTTCCATGCTATCCTGCGAGGGACCCCGGGGAGTCTTGCTATCCAGAGCCTGGGGTGAGTGGGCTGGGCTCTCCGGACCTTCTTTCATCTCCACAGACGGCACAGAGCTTCCGTCTGCAAAGATCTCCCCACAACCTGTCAGCGAATCGAAGCTTTTGAGTGAGGCCACGTCCTCACACAGGGCGCTGCAGAGGTCAAAGGGTGTGTCTGGCAGAAATTCACTGTCAGACAGATCCTGGCATAGGCTGTCCAGCCCCAGCCCCTCACCCACGGAGAGGAACAATTTGCCTTGCTCTGCCCCAACACCCAGTGGGACCTCAGAGGATGACAGGCTCTTCCCATTGGATGATAGTGAGGCCAAGTTCTCAGTCTTGCTTCTGCGGATGTGAAATAGGTTTCGAAAGCACTTCTTGGGCCTCTTCAGGGAAATCCTTTTCCTTGGGATGCTCTTAGCCACAGCCGGCACGAAGGGCATCTGGGGCACAAAGTGGCGGTAGTCAATCATACGCTGACCCCCAGGGGTCTCTGGGAAGCTCATGCTCCCCACCATCTGTCCTGTGGCGGTGGCTGCCTTCGCGGCCCCTGGTACACTGTCGTGAGTCTTGCTCTTGCGCACCAACTTGAAGGTGGTTCCGCAGACGGTCGTGGGACCCCCTTCAGGATCAGATGGTATCTCTTTGTCGGGGAACTGGCCATACCCTTGAATGCAGGGAGAAGTCTGGGAGCTCTTCTCACTGTGGGATCTCGGTTGCCCTCCCAGTGGGAGTGACCAAGGGCCTGTGTCCTCCTTGGCTGGTACAGAGGCTGCTGGGTCTTTGAGTTTCTCATGGGAAATCTGCACGCTAGATTTGATGAAGGTCTTTCCCCTCCTCAGCTCCATGTTGCCAGTGTTCTTGCCACTGTGGAGGAAGGTAGCGGGGAGTTAGTATTGGGGATGATGGCCCCAATTGAGCTCTGCATTTTTCTCTGCTCCCCTCCCTGCTTCTCCCCTCCCCTTCAACCTTCTCCCCAGGTCCCCATGCTCCTAGTTTACACAGGAGATCCAAAACCTGTCTTAAGGGAGAAGAATCTGGTGGTTTAGAACATGCTGCCCTTATGGTAAATGTGCAGAGGACCCCAGCAAGAAATGGCAAAGTCAAAGCATGGCTGGGGAGCCTTCTGAGCTTCTTCCCTAATCCCAGCAGAAACTTTCTCTGCCTGTCCCATCTCCTTTCATTGGCAGTAGCCTGAAGGTCGGCCTCTGTCAGTCTGTCGTGATACCAAAGCCGAATCCCTTCCCCCTCTGGGATTGCTCTGGGATCATCCCTTGCATTAGTTCGCCCCAGTCCCAGCCTGTGAGGGGGGCTGCAGCAGGTTCAAGGTCTGCGGATATTCAGCCCTGGAAACTGCTCCCAAAGATGCATGCTGGTTGCCTCCAGATGGCTGCATGACAGCCATCAGCTGACAGTCAAGGCTGGCCAGAGTCCCTGAAGTGCTCCTGCAGGCAGCTCCGAGTGGGCAGAGGGCCTGCCTCCACTTGGTTGCCAAAGCCAGCATCCCAGGGATGCACGGGCGAGCTGACTGAGCTCTTGCCACCTGCTCACACCTGTGGGTAGCACTTCCTCCCCTGCAGGTGACATCTGGGACTTTTGGCTGGGGAACAAGATGAAAAGTAGTCTTCAGGGGCAAAAGAGCCACACAGCCTAGGCTTGGCTTCCTCCTACTTGGCTCCTCTAGGCACAGAACACCAGCTCTTGGTCCAGTGCCTCAGGCACCATGTTGGCTGTTCAGCCTACTAGGAGATGGATGGGCCCAGTGACTCAGGCACCATGTTGGCTGTTCAGCCTACTGGGAGATGGCATGGCACCATGCCTCAGGTACCATGGTGGCTATTCAGCTTGCAGGGAGATGGCAAGTACCCAAGCCTCTCCTACCCAGAACCTGCAGATTTCTGCTCCAAACATCCCACCCCAGACATTCCTTTATGGGTCTCTTGGAGTCCGGCACACATGGCAGAGTGATTGTTACACAGGGCCTGGCACTTACGCATTGGCAACATCCTCCTAACCAAGCAGAAAACTTGACCAATAAGCCGGTACGGGACAAATTACTGCAGACATCACTTTACAGAGTATAAATTCAGGGGCTGGGGAAACGGCCTAGAGCTTAAGAGCACTTGCTGCTCCCTAGGAGGTGTGGTTCCCAGCATCCACACTAGAGCGTTCACAGTTGCCTATCACTCCTAGCTCTGGGTCAGGGTCGGCAGGATATGACCTCCTCTTCTGGCCTCTTCCGGTGTCTGCGGTCACATGCACGTGCTCATACATACACACATTAAAAACAAAAGAAATCTTTTTTTTTTTAATTCAGCTTCAGAAAAGCCAATTAATTGACCCGTTGGTGCTAAGGCTGGGACTTGAACCTGTGAACCAATGGTTCAAGATCTCTACCTCCCTCTACTTCGTCCCTCATCACTCAGTAGCCCAGGCTGGCCTTGAATTTGTCATGCTTCTGCCTCAGCCTCTGGAGTGCTGGGATTACAGGTTATACACTACCACATCCCACTAAAACTATCTTTTGTGAGAAACCTTAAAATGGAGAATAAATGTATTCTCATGAGGAATTTTGGAAAATAAGACGAAGGTGAAAGCTGCAGGCTGCAAGGGCAACTCGTCCAAATTTAGAAAGATTCTAATTGAAAGCAGTGTAATCTTAATGGAGATATTTGTAATGAGCTATCAGCTCACTCATGCCGCTCAGTGTTTGGGGGGCCTATTTGAGTTACTGTGCCCTGGAAAATAGCTCCATGCAGCCACCATCAAGACTGCTTCACTGTTTGTAAAACTTCACACCTAGAAGAATTAAACCATTTGGACAGAGATCTCTTTCAGTCAAACTACCGCTTTCCAGCTCTCAGAGCAACCAACTGAGATCAGATCAGGAAAAGGGGGACAGTTCGTTCCATTCTGAACTTACAGCGTGGTCCCTCCACTATGATAACACAAAGACTGGACTCCAAGGCTGCTCTGAATGTTTTGCACTCTACATACAGTAAGAACAACTGGTAAAGTTGGTAACAGTGCACCGGAGGCATCAGTACTGGGGTGTGACCTTTTGCTTCGGTCACTTCTCCCATTAAAATGTTTAATCCAGCCTGTCTCTTTGGAAACGTGGGTGGAAGGCGAGCTGCCTGGTGGGAGGTGGGCTGGGCAGTCGCCTTCCACCACAGCTTTCATAGCAGAGTGGGGTTTATTCAGACAGCCAGATGCTATGGCAGCACTGCCTGGGGGCGAAGGCTAAATGTACGTAGGTTCTCAGTCGGAAAATGCACACTTGGTTTTTGTAACCCTGTGGCTAACAGCCTGTCAATAGGAATTCATGACATGTCCTTCTTCCATGCCTGCCATCTCTCTGTCTCTCTTCCCAAGGGTCTTCTCCTTCGTGATCTGCAGAGCTCAGCCACCACTGATCTTTTTATTCTAGTGCTTGGCATTGCTCTAGAACAAGGTTTGAAGTTTGCTAAAGCCCAGCACTTCAACTGTAGCAGACAGATGTATGCAGTATTGCACACTGTGTGTGTGTGTGTGAGTGTGTGTGTGTGTGTGTGTGTGTGTGTGTGTGTGTGAGTGTGTGTGTTTGGCTTGGGGAGTGATATTTTGTGGGCATGGGGATCTGAGGTCAACTTCCGGTACCACTCCTCAGGAACCGCCCTCTTTGCTTCTGAAACAGTCTCCCACTGGGACCCAGAGCCTGCCAAGCAAACAAGGCTGACCCTTGACAGTGAGCCCCAAGGTCCATCTGTCTCCCTAAGTGCTGGAATTTGAAGGGCATGCCGCCATGACTGACGTTTTATATGATTCTTGGGGATTGAACTCGGGTCTCCGCACTTGCATGGAAATTTGAACAGAAGTTGTATCACTCATTTGAGCGAGTGCTCCAAAGCACCATGATGTGTGTGCAGAGGTCAGAGGGCAATCTGCAGTATCTGTTCTCTCCTTCCACTGTCTGGGTCACAGGAATCCAACTCAGGACACCAGGCTCGGTGGCAAGTGCTTATAGCCACTGACTTATCCTGGAGGCCCCCATAGCAAGTTCTTTCCTGATCGAGTTTTCTCCCCAGTCTCCAGGAACAGTCTTTAAGGCTCAGAGCTTCAACTCACATGATACTGCTTATTTAAATGAAGCGTTTTAAATATTTGAAACACCTTGACCATACGTTTCATTTGATGAAATATCACACATTTCCGTTTCCTAATTAAGATGCCAGTCAGACATTTTAATTCTACAAATGCAATTTATCCTGATAATTTTCTAAGACAGGCCCCAACCGCACTAAAGCTAAGATGAGCCTTCAAACTCCATGAGATCAGAAACCATGCAGTGTGTTTATTTAATCAGTTCTGCTCCAGGGATGTGCTGTTTAAATAAAACCTAAAAAACAGCAGAAGGCATTCAGTCAAAAAAAAAAAAAAAATACAGGTTGCATATCCCAGCCAGTGAACACACCCTGCAAAAGGCCCCAAGGACAAGGGAAAGAGACATTTAAATGTCTAAAAGTGGATGCAGTGATCAGGACAGCAAGCAATGGGACCAAGCCAAGAGACTAGTTAGGAGACCATATCTGACCTGGGTCCCGGGAAGGAGCTACAGGTGAAAATGGAAAACCAGGAGTGGAGGCCAAAGGGAGGATAGATTGGAAACCAACTGTCCCAGAGGCCAGCAGAAAGGCGGCCACAGAGATGCTAATGTCTGCTGCTGGTGTTCAGCACACCAGGACAAGAATTTACTACAAAATGAACATTCCATGAAGTGACCCCTCTAGATCTAATTTTAGATCAGCTATCTAGGATTTTCTTATCCCCTTGGAAGATAATCCTGTGCCTTTCTTTCCGTGTGTGTGTATGTGTTGTGAAAATATTATAGAGCAAAATTAAAAACAAACCCTCCAGCAGACTACATGGCCAGTACTTTTGGTATTTGAAATGCCTCTCCCGTGTCTGTCCCCGCCCCCACCCTATATCCCCCCCCCCCCCAAGTCACAGCAGGCAGTGAACTACGAAGAGGTGTTTAAGAAAGAGCAGGCCTAGGTGAGGTACCTTGCCCAGTGACTTCACTGGGTTTGGGACTGGGTAGTGGAGGCTAGGGGGCAGTAGTTTGTTTCCGTGGCAGTATGCCTTGTTGCTGGCCTGGTGAAGGCCTAAGTGAGATGAAAAAGCTCTAATGTTCTGGGATGGGGGTGGGGTGGGTAATAAAGCAGAAATAGAATCTGCGGTGAGAGCCACCCACTCCCACACTAGGGAGACAATGGGCCCTTTGGGTGGAGATCCTGGCTCACCTCCTCTGAGGGAGCCCCTGCCAAGTGGACAGATGAACCACTATCATCTTACTCCTTCCCCAGACCCCTCGTCCGTGGTGACAGGGTTTTCCCGATTACCTAAACCAGTCACCACGCTCAGCCCCCAGGCCCCGCGAATCCTCGCTGAGCGCCGCAGAGTGGAGGGAGTGCCCATCGTGGCCCCTTCTCTCAGCCGTCCATCGCAGAAAGCGCTCAAACATTCCCCGGTCCCCCCAGTTCCCAATGAGGACGGGCGAGGCTGGGACCTACGCAGTCTCTTGGGGCCCCGGCCACTTACCGCTGAGGCTGGGGAGTGTCGCAGGGCGCGGCCGCGCCCGAACCAGGCAGCGAGTGCGCGCCCGAGCCTAGCGTCAGCACCACGGCCAGCTCCAGGCTCCGCGCCGCCGTGGGGGGCGGGCCTCCGGGCACCCGCGCGCAGCAGCAGCCCCGCTTCTCCGCGTTCCGGAGGGCGGGGACGGGAGGACGCCGCCGACTCGCGGAGGAGTGCTAGGGGACTCAGCCGCCACTGCGCCGCCGCCACCCAGAACGACTCGGCTTGCTGGCTTTGTTCTTGTTCTCTCTAGCTCTCTCCCTCTGCCCACTCAGTCGCTCCCCTAATGCTGTGGGTTTTGCATCCCTAAAGCCCTGTTGACCCAAGCCTGGGGGTCCCACATCCCAAGAGACTACAGGTGTGGGTGCCCCGCCCCCCTGCATCCCGGAGGTCCAGGGCGGGTTGACTCCCGCTGTCTCCAAAAGGCAACGTCACAGGCAGCCTCTCCAGCATTCTTACTCAAGATTCAGGATTCTGAGGCTTGGAAGAAGGGGCAAACCAGTGCCGGGAGGCAAAGTGGGCTATTGCAGAATCTTCCTTATGTACCCTTCTTGGAGCTGATTACATTACATTATGACCAAGAATGAAAGGCGTTTCCCTTCCACGCACTTACTTTGTGGTTTGCAGGTGCTGTCCCCTGCTGCAGCCTTGATGACAAACAATCGATGTGGGGAGCCCCTTCCGCAGAGCTAAGGACAAGGGCAGGCTGGGCCCAGTGTCCAGGGCTAGGAGATAAAGGGTGGAGCAAACTCCACTATGGTTTAGGTCATCTTGTCGCCCTCCCCAGTGGAGTCAGGAGTGGGGAGCGCACGGCTAGTGTTTGTGAAAGGCTGATGTTAACAGGGTGCTAGCCGCAGTGAGCACAGACAGAAAGAGCAATCGCAGAAGAATCAGTTAGGTTTGGGCTGCTGAGGACCAGGGAATAAGAGGAGCTGGTGATTGACAAGGGCCACGCCTTTCCTTGAGCCAGCAGGCTCCCTCTCTGCCCTACAGATGAAAAGCCCCAGCCTTGGTCTGCAGTGCTTTGGTAAGTCGCAACCAGTTGAAACTTCTCTATAATCAGTCAACAGGGTCTAGAGGCACTCCCTGACAAGATTTGACAGCCAGGACGACCCCCCACTTCTAGATGAGTTGCACGGTTGAATCTTCTTTCTACCTAGTGCCTAACTTAGCTACACACACCTCCCTTAAGTGTGCGGTGTACACTTATCTTCGTGTGGATGGACGGGTGCACATGTCGGTGAGTTGCATATGCCTGCCCGTGGAGGTCAAAGGCTAAGTGTCTTCCTCAAGGACTCTGCGTTGTTACTGTTTTGGAACATGGTCTCTCACTGAACCCTGGACAAGAGTTCATGCATTAATCAATGAGCCCCACAGATCACCCCCATTGCCCACTGCCACCACGCCCCCAGCCATGGGGTTACAGACCTACGTGTGGCACCTGGCTTTGCCGTGGGTGCTGGAGATTCTAGCTCAGATCCTCATACTTGCGTGGCAGGCACTTAAATGGCTGAGCTGTCCCCCAAACCTTCTATATCTGCACTGTGACTGTTACCATGTTCTCTCTTTTCTTTTCCGGCCCTGGTTACCTGGTTACTTGACTGTCCTGAGGGCCAGTTTTCTGGCCATTCTCCTTTCAGATTCCCCATGATGGGAGTCCAAAAGAGCCAGAAGTCTATGGCACGAGTGGGGTCCGCTGCATTAGTGGAGTTACAGGGTCCAGATCTGCAGCCATGAGGAACCCCACATCTAAGGGGTTTGAGGGGAAAAGGAGAGAACTCCATACTGTTGTGGAAGGCTGGCAGAGTTGGAACTGTCTGTCAGAAGCAAGCTTCAGGAGTCCCTGTCTGGGGAGGAGGAACCATGACACTAGGAATGGGCAAGAAGAGAAGTGTTCTAGTCCTTGGAAGAGACCCACACAGAAGGATGACCTCTCCAACTCTAAATAAACTAGGATTAGAGACACTAACAGATGGAGTGACTTATTGCTACAAGTGGTTCCTTTCTTATTTTATTACAGTTTATACTTTTCTACAGTATTTTAAACAATAAACAATTTTTTATTTTTTTGGTGTGTATGCACCTTCATGTGTGTGCAGGTACAATGAACATGATTAGTGTTCATTGTAGAGGCCAGAGGTCAATGTGGGTATCATTTCTCAGATACCAGTCAGCTTAATTTTGAGCAAGGAAGTCTCACTGAAACCTAGGACTAGCAGATTCGGTTAGGTCATCTGGGCAATGAGCTTCAGGGATCCATCTGTCTCCAATTCACCAGCATTAGGACATTAGTATTACAAGACATCTCATCCAGCATAGGCTCATGCACCATGCACGTGCATATGCGTGTGTGCACGCACACACACGCACACATGTATGCATGTACTTCCACACACCTTGCTTTTTACTTCAGAGCTGGGAATTGAACTCAGGTCCTCATGTTTGACTGGTAAACACTTTACTCACTAAGCACTGAGCTGTCTCCCCAGTCTTCATAAATTTTACCTGGTTCTTTAACCACAAAAACTAAATAAGTAAATGTTTAAACAAAAGTAAAGAAAATAAATGTTTATATTGAAATTAGTTTATATGAAAGAGAAGACATGCACAATTACAGGAAAAAAGTCTGTCTTCATTTTCTTTAATGCCTTGATAAAATTTTGAATTTTCATTGACAGCCCGCCTCTACCTTGGGCACGAAAGCATCTTATAGTAAAGGCAAACTAGGTCCATTCCTGTTTATGATTAAACCTCTGTTTCTCAAGAATTGGACTATGCCCCACCTGTAACCTCAACTACAAATACTTCTATACTGCCTGTTCTGGGAAACAGCAACCATGGCTTTGTTTCAAAATGCTGTGTAGAACCATCTTGTAATCCTGCCTCTGTTTCAAAAGGTTTTATGTCTACTTTGTTATGACTACCGGTTGTTATGACAACCTTGCTATGCCTTCCTTACAGCCACGTCTTTGTGTCAGGAGGGACTAACTTCTGCTCCTGTAACTCACCTATTTTGCCCACATGTGCCCCATTTGGAAACCCCCTACCCCTGAGCTATAAAAACTTTGTCTTCCTTACATTAACACTCACCTCTCTAACCCTGCCTTAGGGGGAGGCAGCCCTTGTACGTGAATAAAAATGCATACTTTAATCAATTTGACCATAATTATTTGGATAAGTGGTCTTACTCCTCACATCTTCGGGTTTAACATAAATATGTGTGTATTTATTCTTAGGTAACATGCTTCGATGTCATTGAAATGTCTTTACTTAATCTGCACTAAAATATTATAAATAAATTGACATTACACACTGAAATATTTCAGTGTGTATTTAAAATAGTATTTGTATATGAACAATGTCCTTAATGGCATCTGCTATCAAAATCCACACCGCAAAATGGGAATCAGATTAATTAGTAATTAGAGAAATATAAATAAATTAGCAATAGCAGATTGGCACAGTGGACTAACTTTTGTGAGTGTAATAATGCTGTTTTTGAAATCTATACATATAGAGACATAAACATGGGAAAATACTAACAATTGGAATTTCAACTAATGGTTGGCACTTTGTTTTCAATGTTTTCTGTTTTCTCGGGTTCATTATTAAACAGAATATCAATGGCTTTCCACAGTTTTCACAGACTTCAATTCCATAGGCACATGGGCTACACATTATATGGTGAGGATCCTTCTCTGTCTCTTTTTTAAACATTTTTTTTAATTTATGCTTTGAGAATTCCACATCATGCACACCAATCCTACTTTTTTCCCAGTCCTTCCATATCTTCCCTCCACTCTTGTAGCCTCCCCCAAGAAAGAAAATAAAAGAAAACAAAAACATTTTGCTCCTTTCTTTCCCACCTCTCCATCATATATTCTTTTTTATTTAAATAACATTTTTTATTTTACATACCAACAAGTTTCCCCTCCCTCCTCTCCTCCCCTTCTCTCCCCTTCCTCGTCTGCTCCCTCCCCATCCACTCCTTCTCCATCTCCATTCAGAAAGGGACAGGCTTCCCATGGCCTTGCACAAAGCTGAATCTCCCCTTAAGGAGAAGCAGGCCAAGTAATTCAGCATGGGGAACAGGTTACCAAAGGCCTGCTAAACACCATGGAGAGGTCCTGCTCTCACTGTTAGAAGCCTTACTAAGAGCTTCATAATTGTCACACACGTGCAGAGGGCCTAGGTCTGTCCCATGCAGGCTCCCTGACTGTTGGTCCAGCATCCACAAGCTTGGGTCAGCTGTCTCTGTGGGTTCCCCCACCATGGCCTCCCTAGCTGGTACAATTTCCTCCTCCCTTCCACAAGACTCGGCACAGTGCTTGTCTGTGGATCTCTGCCTCTGTCTCCATCAGTTACTAGATAGAGTATCTCTGATGGCAGTTAGAGAAGTCACCAATCTGCTTACAAAGTAGATGGACCCATCGCGTATTCTTTTGTCAGAGTGGCCTTGGGAGCTGCAGTGTGTCACACACACAATATACACTGTCGCTCAAACAGCTTTGCTTGCAAATGCTCCTTGCAGTGAGTTGTTGGTGTGGTTCCAGACCTCTGGCTTCTGGACACTATCAATCCCGAACCTTCATCAAAACTTCTTAGCTATCCTGCTGTTTCCCCAAGTCATGGAGCTCCTGCAGCTGTTCCATAGAACCACAGGACAAGTCTCTTTGTATGCTCCAGCAGGTCATAGATAGGGTAGATGTTGGAGTGGACCAACTCAAAGCCCTGGATGTGGGCCTGGGTGGTAGTCCAGGCTTCCACTGGAACCATTTCCAGGCAAGGGTCAAGGCCAGTTTTCCTGTATCCACATCACTGGGACCAGTTCTCCTGAGCGCATGGTAAGGGATGGGTCTGGCTGTCCCATTGGGGTGGTCAGCCAGGTGGCAGCAGTTCTCCCATGGCTGTCAACCGCTGGGGCTCTCCTGTGTTCACACCATTGGGGCCAATTCTTCTGGGAGAGGGAGAAGCTCTCCTGCTGAGGTCACTGGTGAGGGACTAGACCAGTTCTCCTGCGCCCAGGCCACTGGGGCTAGCGCTTCCATGACTCCCATTGATAACACAGGGCATGAACACCATCTCAG